ACTGTAGGGATGAGCCAGCACATCTGTAACGGGCTCCATCCTGAAAGCAACATTTGCCCCTGGTGTTTCTGGCTCTCTCTCTATAACGACCTTACACAGTTTATTCTAATTAGGCTTGAGTGTTTGCAAATGTGCGTATTGGAGAACTGTCTTGACCTGCTTGTCCTGATGTGCAAACCCGAACTGGATCCAATCTAATCTCAAGTTTCATGGCAGGATAATGATCAGAGTGAGATAAATTTAAAAATACCCTGGAGTAAACAGTTTATGTTAATTGGTTTTAACCATTAAACAAAGTCAGCCTTCATCAGCTTTTAGAAAGACGTTCATTACAAAATCATCTTAAACATTTGGAGTTCATTTCTTATTCCCATATCCACATTTATCTGCTTCATCACAACCACTGTTATCCTGCTTAAGATTCAGGTTTCATTCAAATTAACGGTATCACTGGATTATCCAGACATGTTGCTTTGATTATTCAGTTTTTAGCTTTCCCCAGAGGATAATACAGGGAAAAAAACCACACCCAGATCTAACAGAAACCTAAAGTTTGATGAATGAGTAGCAGCCATGCTCCACAGACCTCCCAAACACTGCTCAACAAGGAGACAGATCTTTATATTTCTCTCAAAACGCTCAAACATTTACACTCTCCCATCACCTGTCACTCCCACCGCAGGTCTCACGTTTCACCTCCTGATCAAGCTGAGCTCTAACACGCAATGAAATGTTCAACACTGAATTACTATGGCACATTTAATATAAACCGAATTTACTCCTGGGTTCCATCCAAGCCTCCAAATGCCGAGGAGCCTGCCGTTTTCCCCCAGTTGGAGCATGACTGATTTTGGTAATGTAGCAAAGCTCTAAATCACTGGAACGCTAACACTCTTCAGCAGGGTACAAATCCAGACCTTTAACACTCAGTTAACACTCCAACTCTCACGTTTCTAAACTCTTAGATGGCGTCTCTGTAGGAAGGACATGCGAGTGCATTCATTTTCAGCACACATAGGAAGTATGTTGGGGAATTATTTCACCCTCAAACAATAAAAGAAGTTGCGCAAGTGCAAATCCAGTAACGGTGAAATTATTATGCGAACAGTTGACTTTGTCAGAACTAACTGGTATTTTGGTTTCTGAAGTGATCTAGTCGTTCCTACTCCTATAAACTCCTTCATAAACTGCAACTGGTCCAGAATTCAGCAGCCCGTATTATCACCAGAACCCCTTCCTTTCACCACATCACCCCGGTTCTCCAACAGCTTCACTGGCTCCCAGTTAAATTCCGGTCCATCTTCAAAATTCTCCTCCATAACTTCAAAGCAATCCACAACCTCTCTCCTCCATATATCTCAGACCTTATAAGTATTCACACCCCATCCCGTTCTCTCAGATCTTCTTCTTCCATCCATCTTGCGGTTCCTTCTGCCCATCTCACTACCATGGGGAGCAGAGCTTTCAGCTGCTCTGCTCCTCGTCTCTGGAACTCACTTCCCCCAGACATCAGGAACATCGACAGTTTTACCCTTTTCAAAACAAAACTCAAAACACATATGTTTAAATCTGCCTACAACCTCTGATTTTATTGAACTGTTTCTCTCTTTGTTTTTTTTTCTTGTTTGGGTTTTATTATTGTTTTATTGAATTTTATTAAGTGTTTTCTGTCAAGTGACCTTGGGTGTTCTGAAAGGCACTTTTAAATAAAATGTATTATTATTATTATTACTGTCTGACACGTTTAGAATTTATGATGCCATGCATAAACCAGTGTTGGTTTTTCTGGAGCAACAATTTCCAGATATTTTTGTGTTTTTTAAATTACAACAATGACTCTTTAGTTTAGACTACATAATTGATAAAAGGCTAATTCAGATTTCACTTTCATTGTACAACTTTTATTTTTCTATGGACATTATTTTTCTAAAGGATGTTAAAAACATTCAGTCAGGAATTATTTTTCGTTTTTATTGGATTCCTGGAAATCAGCTCCAAGCCACAAACTCTTTTTTTCCTGACCCACGGTGGGATTCCAACTTCAACTCAGGGAACCACTGAGGTCCTCATTCCTAATCCTGCATGATTTAAATGATTCTCCCCTTCAACACGCCTGATTGAAGTAAAATCATTTGTTGACCAGTTCTGCTAAACGTGACGGAACGCTGATAAGTGAATCTATTTGAGTCGGGTTTGTTGGAGCAGGAGAAACCTGAAGGACATTCGGGGTCCTGGGTCCTGAGGACCAGGATTAGAGACATCTGTGTGGAGTAATCCAGGATTACAAAAGATCGGTTCAGCATCTTTTGTAGTTGTAGCGTAAATATGGAAGCATGAATCCATCCTCCCTTGTGTCACCACTTCAGGCTGCTGCTGGTGATGCTCTTATCCCACTTTGGACCCCTTAGAACCACCTGAGCCTGGTTTAAACACCACATCACCTGAGTACTGTTGCTGACCGTCCATCCCTTTATGACCAGTGAACCCATCCTCTTCACCG